TGAAATTCAACGAAAAACTGCTCTACCTCAAAAAACTGTACAATTTTAACGTAAAAATACAATACGTTAACTTATTCTACAGTGCAACAATTGGAAGCCTACTTAATTTCATTGTCACCTCCTGGTGTAGGAATTCTTCGTCGGATATATGATACCGAATGAACGGACTAATCAAGAAATGTAGAAACATAAAACAATCTAAACATCCTTCACTTGAAGGACTATTTGAAGATAGATGTTTTTACAAAACTAAAAAAAATTTCCTTTATGCATTACACCCTAATCATCACAGATACTTAGGTTCGGAATGAATTCTTTCTCTCAGGGCAAAGACTACAAATTATAAAAATTCTTTTGTTCCCCAATCTATAAGAATTTAAAAGCGTTTTTTTCTCTAAACGCACACATCTTAATGAGATCTAATAATTCCCTGATATGGTTGAGAATACACTGAATGACTGTTTCTTTCACTAGGGAAATAATTCAATGTACGTGTCGTGTGTTCAATTGGTTTTATTTATGTGCTAAAATTTACAATGTAATTTTAAAAGATCCATTTGTTTGGATTAATTAAAGAATCCTTTCTTATTGTTTAATTTACACAAAATGTTTTGTCTAATTAATTTAATTCTTTACATGTTGTAACTATTTCAAACAATAAAAAGAAATAACTTGATCAACCAATCTTAAATAAAACAAACCATGTAGATGTAGCTTTGAAAATTTCCCTTTAAGTAGTCTTAAATTGTTGGATCTACGAATTAATTGACATAGAATATATATTCCATTAATGCACTAATCGTTTGTGCAGTTCATTTACTATAATGGATACTATTACCTATATTGCACAGATAGGTTCTGTTATTGAAGTAATAACCAGGCCTGCAGCCGCATCTTCCAGCCACACAAACCAGGTGTTCGTTACACTGGGAGGTAATGTTGCACTTGAAATAATACGGACGTCCTTCTGTCAGCATGGGGATTACGGGAAAAAAAGTTTTTTAATTATCTATACAAAATTGTATATTGTTTATGATAGGTAATGTTTTATATTGTCTTTACAAATAATATGTCTAATCAATTTATTCTAATCTGATAACTTTAAATCTTATTTTTACCAGGTATAATTATTTTGTTGCAAAGTAATCATAATAACAATAATAATAGGAGGTCTTATATAGCGCGGTACCCCAGCCTAGGGCTGGGTTCACCGCGCTGTACATAAAATTTTTATCAAAAGCGACAAAATCATGACATTAAAATAAAATACATTAATGAAATAAATAACAGCAATGTATATTGACCCACCCCACCACATAACTTTTACAAGGCAAACCATGGACGGCAGCCAGCAAGATCGTTTATCGGTCAGAGGNCGACAAAATCATGACATTAAAATAAAATACATTAATGAAATAAATAACAGCAATGTATATTGACCCACCCCACCACATAACTTTTACAAGGCAAACCATGGACGGCAGCCAGCAAGATCGTTTATCGGTCAGAGGAGGGGAATCAGTCAGGGTAGTACAATTTAAAAAGATATGTTTTGAGTGCAGTTTTGAAGGCCTGGGTTGTTGATATATTGCGTATGTGTAGTTGCAAAGAATTCCATTGTTTGGGGGCGCAGAAAGAGAAAGATCGTTCACCATATGTTTTAGTTTGTGTCTTGGGAATGGAGAGAATACGCGTGTCTGCAGAGGATTGAAGCTGTCGAAGGGGTGAATAGACAGAAAGAAGTTCGGTTAGATAGGAAGGGCAGGAATCCAAGAAAAAGTTGTGACAGAGAACAGACAACTTGTAGTCAGTGCGTGCCTGCATAGGTAGCCAATGAAGGGAATGGAGTAGTGGAGTGACGTGATCAAGTTTTTTGCCTTTATAACTAGCCTAGAAGCTGAGTTTTGAAATTTCTGCAGTTTTTCTATGCAATGTTTTGGTGAACCTTACAGAAGAGAGTTGCAATAGTCAAGACGAGAGAGAACAAGAGCACATACTATAGTTTTTGTAGCGCTAACTGTGAGGTAGTGGCGTATGGAGCTGATCTGACGGATTGTGGTGTATGCTGAACGGCAAATGTGAGATATGTGTTACTCGAGAGACATGTTGTTAGAAAGAATATAACCAAGATTCCTAGCAGAGGGGGTAAACCGAACGTCAGAGTTACCTACTTGAAATTACGTAGGAAGAGTTGAGGTAGAGGATGATGTGTGATTGTGGATTAGGAGTGCTTCCATTTGTTCATCATTAATCATGTTAGAATTGTTTTCTTTGATTTTAGTTTAAAATATTTAAAATATAAATATTTAAATAGTATTTTTTAAAATAATAATTGTCCCGAAATTACTTTGACATTGTCTTTGCACTCTAAAAATTAATATTTAATATCCTACCATCAGTTGTAAATGTTCCATTGAAGCCTATAGAAATGATACTTCCGTCCGTTTTAAACACCAGAAGCATTGCATTTGTTGTGGAGATTATTTTTGGTGGTGCTGTATCACAGAAGGTACCCAGCAGTGGTGCAGAAGTATATTTTCCGTCATATATCTTTAGGTAGTCCGCTGCACAGTTGTTTTCTAACTGGAACTCACTTACGCTGAGGAATTTTATTTTTTTGAAATGTTACAAAGCTGCCTAACTACCTCATATTTTATAACTAGTTAAGTGCATATGTTGATTAAGAAGTTTGACGTAAAAATTGTTAATATATTTTGTTTTGACCATGTTGACACATAAAGAATACATCTAAAACTTTATCAATAGTTTTTATTATTGAATCATCTTAAAATTCGTTCAGACCTTTTTGCGTAGTGAAACTAAATGAAGTCTATTGAGAATAAATATTCCGGTGCAGAATGTTAAGGATTTCAATGTATCTTGTGATTGCGTATTTTTTAGAGATTCTTTGTGTTGTTTTATCTATTACTAGCGAGTACCCGGCATGCGTTGCAAATTTAATTATGTTTCTTCAAGAGCTTTTTAAAACTCAAATTATTTCTTGTTTTTCCGTCTGGTATATACACGAATAAAGCAGGAGGTTTTCTTACGCAAGTGCATGCTACATACATCTGTCCATGGGAGAAACATGGGTTTTCCAAATTTAGTCCAGTCATTGCAGACGCGTGTCACACCAGAAACTGCAGGTGGTTGAATTCAAATGGCATAGCTGTTGGAATCATTGGGATGCGTGGCAATAGTACATCACCTCCTTTAAATTTTCCATTTAAAATAGTAACCTCAATGGAACCAATTTCGGAAGATTCATTTGAACAAATATACCAAATTCTTCAATATCAAAGTGCGTTTCTCGATGCAAATCAAGATCGAAAGTTTGTTCGCAGATCAATTGGGAGAGGTCATTCCCAACTCACAGATCATCAATCGATATGAATAGTATTTCATAGCACTGACTTTCTTATTCAATTCCTCATCTGTCTTTGGATTTGTCAGTTTGATGTTAAAATGTTAGCCATCTTCGCCTTGCCAAAATAAAATAGTATATTGCAATCCATCGCATGAGCGAAGTGTTTCTGAGACTCGCTGAACATCACCACTTTTGCGATGAAGAATTAAATCAAGTGATTTAATTCTTCACCAACTTTAGCGATCGCCACTTCATCAATTGTTTGTGCATTGTATTGTCTTTCATTCTGGCCGAGAGGTGCTTTATCTCCTCTAACTATGACTTTGTATTTATCAGTCGGCATCTTATCAAGTGCAATTCTAAACATTTAAATTAATTCGTTGTGTTGCAAAAATAAAGTTTGAAATGGAGCGTAGATTTCTCGATAAGTGCCCGTATTGATATGTCAACGTTGATCAATTTGTTCATCAGTATTTCCCATGAAGTAAATTTGAAGCAATGTGTGATCTGTGTGTGGCATTGGCATCAGAGATCCTGCACGATGGTAAATTTTGCCTGCACTTTAAATGTTGGCATGTAATTCTCGCGCACGATATTTTTTACACTGAACGATGTCATTTGGAAACATGAATTGTACTTGCGTATGTGTGCCAAGAAATGGTTCGATTGGCTTTTGTCACCTGATACCAACTTTGATAATGGTTTAGGTGGTGAATGTAATTCTGGCAATTTCACTTTCCAACCCGCGCAGCCAATTCCGGTGTTTCATTCTTAAATTTAGGGCACTGTAATAAACGCATAATTGATCCATTTTTTCCAATAACAACACTTGGATTAAGACTTTAATATAAATTAGCATCGTAATGGAATGCAATAACATTTAATTCAGCGTGCAATGTTCGTCTGGATCGAGCAGTTCGTACTCTTTTGAAATATAGTCTTGATTCCCGTTGCTTGACTGTTTCAGATGAACAGGTTTGAGCAATGCGTATTCCAGTGATTTCTAGTCTTGCTTCTCGTTGCTTAATTTTTCAGATGAACGGGTTTGAGAATTCCGTACTCGAGCGGTTTCAAGTCTTGCTTCTCGTTGCTTTAATGTTTTCGAAGCTCCTGATGATTTTTTCTTTCGTGCTTTACGTGTAGAAAAACCAATAGCTTTTCGTTTGTGTTGCTTAATTTATTTGACAGCGAAATTATTGCTTTGCGACGAATATTACAAATGCAAGTGATATCTGTTATTAGCAATGGTATTTAACAATTAACACAACTTGTTAGTTCACAGACATAATGAAACATTGCTGTTTTTATTTGATTCAATTAATTTACAATATAACTAATGTTAATAATTTTCACATGTTAGGATCTCCCAACTTTTTACATGAACACCTCGCACAATCGGTGTTGGCAGGAGAATTCCAGTTGTATAGCGTCACATTAATTTATAAATCATAAATTCCAGCGTTAAAATCACGTTATTAACATAGTTCAATACCTACGTTGTCAAGTGCGTTATTTACATAATTAATAAATCATCGATTCATGTAAAATGTCTTATCACAATCGCTTGAATGGTAAAGGACCGCATATGGTTTGAAATTATACTTATATAGCTAGAAAAAAAACCAACATAGCGCACCTGGCTCGAAACTGAATATTTTAAAACGGTTGTAACAATTTAAGAAACTTTGTGGGTGATTGTACTAAATCTCACTAAACTTTTATCAAATGCTGATAAATGGTATAGGAGCGCATACGGAAATTTACTTTTTACAAAGCTATTGTAAGAAAAGATGAATTTGGGTCCAACTGCCGAAAACGGACTATTTTAAAAGTGTCTTAATGGATGAGTAAAATTTGCATGCTTATGGATAACAACTCATTAAAGTATTAAAGTTTTGTCGCAATCGCATGAATGGTGTATGAGCGCATTCGGTTTGAAAATATATGTATATAGATTAAATGAGAAAAAACGAACATAGGGCCCTTACTAGAAACGGAATATTTTGAAACTTTTGTAATTATTTAAGAACATTTGTGGGCGATTGCAAAACATCTCAGTAAAAATTTATCGCATTCTAATAAATGGTATTGGAGCGCATACGGAAATTATTTTTTACAGAGCTCATATAAAAAAAAATACGAATTAAGAGCCAACGGCGGAAAAAAAGAATATTTCAACAAGTGTTAAAAAAACACAGTAAAATGCGAGCTTATGTAAAACAACTCACCAAAGTTTTATCGCAATCGCATTAATGGTGTAGAAGTGCATATGGTTTGAAAATATATTTGTATCGCTTATATAAGGAAAAACGAACAAAGGACCCCTGGCTCAAAACGGATTATTTTAAAACAGTTGTAAAAATTCAAAAACCCATGAGAGCGTGCTTGCAACATCACACCAAGTTTTATCGCATTCGAATAAATGGCGTAGGAGCGCATACGGAAATTATATTTTACAAAGCTCATATAAGAAAAAAAGGGATTAAGGGGCAACCGCCGAAAACGAAACATTTTATAAGGGTTGTAATGACCCGTTTAAAAGCCTGGTTATGTGGACAACAACTCAGCAACGTTTGGTCGCAATCGCATGACTGGTGTAGTAGCGCATATGAGACATACAAACACACATTTATTTATATATATATAGATGCTTAGTATCTTGTCAGGTATTGTGTGAAAGGGGATATGACGTATTACTATAGTTTAGTGTGGTCTTTAAGTAAGGTAATGAAAGCTGACAATTTAGTTTGTTAATACAGAAAT